GCGGATGATCTGGGGCTTGGAAGGAGAAGAAGCTTACAACAATCGGAATCAATCGGACTCGCCATCGCGCATTACTTCTCACCGTAAGACCGCCCCCCGAAGTACTCCAAACCAGGTTCCACCTCGCTTCCAGCGTTCTGACGAACAAGCTCGTGCCAGTTACCCCGCCGCCCTAGCACTGCCAGACCAAGGAGTCCAGTACCTTTCGCCTCTTGGACCTCAGCATACCACGCTTCACAAGCCCATGAGCCATGCTGATATTGATCTGTCACTTCCTGGTCATGGACCTATAGATTTGAGTAACGTCTTGCGTCCTCGCCTGAACTTACCCGACATCTGCGGCCAAAAGCTCAATGGCAACAAACGCGGCGGTCTTCGTGACTCCATCGGCTACAATGACGAATCTGTTGCTGGCGATTGGCAGGCGGCCTTACAAGCTCAAGACATGCTAAACGGTCCATCTTTTCGTCACCCGTCTATGTCTGAACTTGGCGACTATCTAGTTCCCTCTCTGACTCCTTCCGTTTCTACGTCTTCTGTCTCCTCCCTGCAATCTCTTGTTCATCCTCACTCAACTCCGTCATTGGATTCTATCGATCGGTTTTCTCATGTCTCAAGCCAAGCTCTTGCCTCAGCTACCCCTCGCCGCATGTCTGCCTTAGAAATCGCACAGAATTACCGTCAACAACAGATGCACCAGAAATCGATGTTACCCACCCCTCCGAATTCCTCGTCTCCGATATGGTCATCTCGTTTCTCTCCCTACCAAGGTTCTCTGGTGTCCCCTGATCTCCTAGCTGGCTCTAATCTGTCCGGAAAACACATCCTTTCTCATCGACCAGATCTTCTCCAGCACGGCAACCCACAACTTCTCCCTCCGCACTCGTCTCCTGTGATTGATCTCAACAGTCTCAAAGTTCACTTGGGTGTCTCGTCTCTTGCCCCTGCTGCCCATATACGAGATCCGACTTTGAAGATCCACGACCTATCCTCTCCTATCTTCAATCACGACAAGATCGTCATTGATCCTATGAGAAATCACCTTCGTGGCCAGAAACACCTGACTGGTTCTCTTGCCTCGCTTCCGTCTCCCATGTCTGGCCGCTCTCCAGCACCGCCCCGACCACCTCCGAATACACCGATGGTCTCCGCTCCACTATCCCGTAGCGGGCGTAGTTATGACGCAACTCACGCTCGCACAAGCAGAGCTATTGGTGCACCCCTTTCTCCGACCTCGCCAGACCATCGACCCCGTGTCTCCCAACAACAGCAACCCCGCACGGCTCCTCCGTCGCAGGTATTGGAAAGACGTCTCCCTTCTGTGCCGGAGGAAGATAATCATACGTACGTCGACTTGCACAGGTCTCCATCCCCTGGTCATCTTGTGTCTTCCGGAGGTCATCTTCGCGCTACAAATGCGTTCAAGTTAGCACCTGTACATCAGACGATGCTGGTTCCTGAAAACGCTGCGCATACATCTCTGAGGTCACCGGGTCCCGGCTATGAGGATCGTCTTTCGAATCAGTCAGACTCAGCGACAGGCAATCATAGGCAACATCAGAAAGGGAAGCCATTTACTCCTCAGTCAACTTCGAATGGTACAAGAGGAAACCCACCTCGAGGGCATCATGAAGGACCAAGCGATACCGTGAGCAGAGGTGCTCGTGGCGCGCGCGGTCATCGGGCTGCCAGGGGAATTGGTCGAGGCAAGAGAGGTCATGCCCGCCAAGTGTCCCATGTAACTCGCAACGGTCCTGAGCGAGTGGACGGCGGGTTGACTGTTCGTTCATAAAGCTTGATTTGCTCTACTGGTGCGCTTGGATTCATCGCTGTCCCATTTCATTGAGCTCCTGATTCTGGGATTTCCCGCCTTAGTCTTTTGCACTGTTCTCCAGCTCTTCTTCTCGCCTCTCGGCCTCTTCAAGCTCAACTCACCGCATATGCCAAGATTGAATCAACAGGCAGTTGGAGATCAACGGAATGTTGCTCAGACGATATGCCGCCGACCCGGGATCCATATTATTGTCATGTGTACGGGAAGCCTTAGTATACCGCCCCAAGTGTTACTCCATAGCTCTCAATGCACTCGCCTTTTCCATGCCTCTATGACAGTCGCAGGCTCCCGTGTGCTCTCGTTCTCGGAGTCATTTGAGATTGCATTAATATGGGAAGTCTAGACTTCCGGGCCACGCCATCCCCCTTCCTATCTAACCCAGAAACCCCACTGAGCATGCATTGGGGATACTCATGCAACCCCGTCTAGATCATGTCAACGTGGAAACCTATGTATTACGGGGAGGCTATATTGTATATATCGGATCCAATCTATGTTTCTAGAAACCATAACCTGGGGGATGAGATTGCGAGAGTGAGACGAAAGGGTCTGTTCAGATTTGAGCCTGGAACTTCGTACGAAAATGGAAGATGGGGTTGGTTTTTGCTCGTAACTAAACCTGAAGAGGGAACTGGAGACCCAACCGTCGAACATGAAAGAGACCGATGATACAACCACAGAACAACAGAAAGAAACAAAAGAAGAGATAGGCCGAAAGACAGTCCGTGAATGAGACGGAGAACTCGAACGACACGGTATGGAAGAGAGGGGGGGGAGAGACATGCACAGTAACGGGGCGAGCTAAGCATATACAACTTGAGTACAAAAAGAACGTACTGACAGGCATGGAAGCGAAACTAGTGGTAACAACAAACGAAACGAAAGGGAGTAATGGGGGAAAATCGACAGGTGAAAAGAACCATTGGAATGTGACAAAAACCGGTGGTGACTGTGTTGATTGCTTTGGGTGTGAAGGGGAGAATTGGACTGATGATAGCATATTGTATATGGGATGCAAGTGGATTGGGGGGCGGGGGGGTAACGGTTTGATGACTGAAAAGGATCAGTGTAGATATGAATGTGGATTGATACACTGGAGGAAAGAGGTATGGCTGGTAGATGGGCGTGTGCGGTTACATGGTCAACATATGAGGCACAAGAGGGAAAATGCAACTTGGATGTTGAGTTGTTCACCGTTCTGAATACGGTGGGGAGTTTGAAGATATCCGTAAACCTGCCATTGTCGCATCCAGGGACGATGCTGCATTATCGCTGCGGCTGGATCCAGGACGTGATGCGCTGATGATCAATGACCGTCTGTAAGAGACGCAACAGATGTCAAAAGGAGGATACACGTACTGGTCGCCCGACTTCCGCGCTGGTGCCGGCCAGTCCCAGACTTTTCTGAGCCAATAGGCCATATTCACCTTAGTTTGTGTGGCCGACACGATCCAAGGGTGGTCCAAAAGCTCCTTTGGCGTTGGTCGCATTGCGGGGTTTCGTGTAAGACTGTATTGGTTGTCAGCTGCGACGCTTCGGTTGGGTGCAACAGCGGTCACTTACGCGACCTTGATAAAGTCTTTCATCTCGGAGCTGTATACGATATCCTCATCGTCTTCCAGTTCGGGGGGCTATAGGAGCACAATCAATGAATACGGAGTTAAGGGTCCGAAAAGATGATTCCAACCTCGTTTTGTGTGATGTACATCATCAGCTCAATGTCTGCGAGATCGCTGGGGAAGGGGAATCGATTGGTCACGAGCTCTAGCAAAGAGATTCCAGTGGACCAAATATCAGATCTGATACTGTAGTTCAGACCCGATAACCGTTCGGGCTATAAAGTAAGGAGTTTAACGGGCTTAAGCTCATAGTGATTGACTGTGAGCGTACCGCCATGTAAAGACTCGTCCCAGTGAAGGTGCCTGCATTTGAGTTCACAAGCTCTCCTGACACTCCAAAGTCACATAATTTGACGACACCCTCGCGAGTCAGTAGGATGTTCGGAGGCTTGATATCTCGATGAATGGTCTTCCTCGCATGGAGATAGGCCAGCCCTTGAAGAATCTGTGTCGATCATGGTTAGGATCACTGATGCACTATCACAGATGGCAGGGACAACTGAGAGTAAAGGGACTTACCCCTTCAGCTAACCTTCCCGCCACCTTCTCGCTCACCCGTGCGTCGATCTGTCTCATCCGCTTCCCAACGGACTCGAGACTTCCTCCCTCGCAAAACTCCATAAGGACCTTTACCTCACTCGACGACGGAGAGATATAGGCACCATAGAAGTGCACAATATTCACATGCTCCGTAGAAGATGTGATCTGGATTTCTCTGAGTAGCTGCTTCATGGGCGCCTCAAGGGTGGTGATGGTTTTGCGGGCCATAATCAAACCCGTGCGTTTGTCGCGCACTTTGTAGACGGCGCCGCCAGCACCCTCACCAAGACGGTTCAGTTCGACGAGAAAATCGTCCGACCACTGATCGAACTCTTCGACTGTTTGGCGGATGTTATCCATTGAGACGGGTGGCGGGCGAGGTGAGGGAGAGATTGTCAGCTGGGGCTTGATCGTAGCTTCTCCAGAGCCGTCGGTACTACTGGAGAGTAAGTGAGGGGATCCGTTTTGATTGTTTGGACCGCCCGCATAACCACCCGCGAATGCACTCTCCCCAAAGTCCATCGCAGGCAGCTTGAGCTTGGGACGGGCCGGAGCTGTGGGGCCGGGGATCTGAAGAGAGATAGTGGGGGTAGGAGAGCGAGAACGTGTAGGTTGTGAAAGAGAAGGCAGAGACAGCAGCGTCGGCTGGTGTTCCTGCTGCGAGTGAGAGGTGCCATTGCCGTTAGCGTTCTGGGATGGGATGGATAGCTTTGTGGCTGAGGGTCTACGGTTAATATTGAGGGGAGAGATCTCCGGCAACCTGAGAGTCGTGGGCGGCGAGGAAGGGCGCTGTATCCTCGGACCCATCGGCCGTGCTGGACTGGAATGCATTGAGTGCATCGTGATGGACGTCGACAAAGGGGTTGAGCACGACGAGGAGACGGGGAAAGAGGGCGTGCTGCTCAAATCATAGGCGCCCACAGCACGGTTACACGGCAACAGTCCATCTCCGCTGAAGCGCCCACACTGGCTCCCTCATACCGACTATTTTCTCCCTCTCATTCGTCGGTAGTGTAGCCAAGTGGTTACGGCGTCACGTTTAGGTCCTCCTGGATAATCCGTGATGGGTTTCCCGCGCGAGTTCGAATCTCGTCACTATCAAGGTCTTTTTTTTGTGTGATTCGAACATCTATTCCTGTGAACAGATTGCTTTCCAACGTGCCTTGGGAACTGTGTGTGATCGATGTTTCTCACAAATACTGATTCTGATGCCTGAATATTGAATACGAAGACTGACGGAGGCAAGAGCATGACCTTGCCAAACACGCCCAAACAAAACCAGAGACCGCTCCGAGTCCGAATCCTGTAAACTCATAATTCACTTGCTCAATCACCGACATGGCTTCCGCAACGGGTACGTTCTTGTGTTACCACAGCTCGCTTTCTCCGCTGATTTCAACTTCAAGCTACCGGAAAGCTCTCCAGGGAAGAGTTTCGCCGACAAAAAGACCTTGACGCTGCCCGTAAGGCGGGTACAGCTCCCGCTGCAGTAGACGAGGAGGGAAAGGCCATCAACCCTCACATACCTCGTACGCTCTCAAGTACTGTGCAAACTGAATGCGACTAATGAGTTACTCTAGAATACATTGCACAGGCACCATGGTATCTCGACACCGGCGCACCCTCTCTCAGTCATCAACGTATTCCTGAATATGACCGCTCTGCCGACAAGCTCGACAACTGGTATGATAGAGGTGCGAAAGCTGGTCCTGCGGCGAAGAAGTATCGCAAAGGTGCATGCGAGAATTGCGGGGCCATGACACACAAGAAGCAGGATTGCCTCGAACGGCCGCGGCAGCGTGGTGCGAAGTACACCAACAAGAACATCGCACCAGACGAGATCATCCAGGAAGTGGCTTCAGGGTACGATGCGAAGCGGGATAGGTGGAATGGATACGACCCAAGTGAGCACAAGAAGGTTTACGATGAGTATGCGGCGGTGGAAGCGGCGAGGCAGAAACAAAGGGAAGAGGAAATTGATAAACAAACCACCACGGATTTGGCGGCTGTGAGGAAGGTGGCAAAGGCGGGCAAAGGAGAGGGGGGAAAGGATGATGACTTCGGGAGCAGCGACGAGGAAGACGATGACCAGGACAAATACGCTGAATCTGCCGACGCGGTTGGCCAGAAATTGGACACCAAGACGCGAATCACCGTCCGAAACTTGCGTATTCGTGAAGATACGGCCAAGTACCTCATCAACTTGGACCCTTCAAGTGCATACTATGACCCGAAGACTCGTTCCATGCGTGACAATCCTTTGAAGAATATTCCGGCGGAGGAGGTAAGTCTCTTCTCACGTATTTGCATAATCATTGCTACACCTCATTCTTAGGCTCTATTTGCTGGTGATAACTTCCTTCGCCACTCCGGAGAGGCACCGGAAGTTCAGAAGCTGCAATTGTTTGCATGGAACGCAGCTGCCCGCGGAAACGACGTACATATGAACGCCAACCCTACTCAGGGCCAGTTACTCCATTCCAAGTATAAGGAAACGAAAGAGCAGCTGAAGGAGAGCACGAAGGGCAGTATATTGGCGCGGTATGGTGGTGAGGAGTACTTGGAGAAGGCACCGAAGGAGCTATTGCAAGGTCAAACAGAGGAGTACGTGGAGTTTTCGAGAACGGGTCAAGTTATCAAGGGGAAGGAGAGGGCTGCTATCAGGTCGAAATATCCGGAGGATGGTAAGTTTAATGCCCGATACACCACTATCCTTTTACTAACGTCCTCGCAGTGTTCATCAACAACCATACGTCGGTGTGGGGATCATGGTTCGACACGGCTTCCGGCCAGTGGGGCTTCGCGTGTTGCCACTCTTTCATACATCTCTCGTACTGTACGGGATCAGCAGGTATTACGGCGGCGGCGGAGTCAAGCGCGAAGAATCTCCTTGCATCATCGTCTTCGTCAAGTATGCCACCGCCGCCTGTTCCTGCAAGCGCTCTTGAACCTTCATCACAAGAGCCATCGCCTCTGTCATCGCATGACAAAGAAGATAGGAAGAAGAAAGCGGAAGAACTGTTCTCGAAAAAGCGCCTTGGCGAGGGTGAAGTCAAGCTGAACGAGCAGCGGTTGGCCGATGCTATTAGGGAGGAGAGGGAGAGGAAGAGGAAAGGGAGGGCTGATGACGACGACGATCCTTGGGGTAAGGGGAAGAGGAAGAAGGCGGGTGAGGAGGTCACTGAAGAGGAACTTGGTGGGTATTTCGCTCTTATTTGTTGTCCAGCATCTGACAAGCCCTACAGAGGCATATCGGATGAATCGACGGATGACCGAAGATCCTATGGCCAACTATGTTGACGAGGAGATATGAGACCATTAATGTCTTTCCTGGATTTCCACAAGTTTGTCACAGTCTCTGTATACTTACACTCGCATATTGCAACGCATGTACTGATTTTTTATGGCTCGATATGACGGACCTCACCGATATGTGTTCATTCTACAGCATCATGATCGCCAGGTTGTATATTTCTACGCGTCTCATTTATCCCCTGGTATATCACGAGGTTACCAAGTTCAAGCTTCAAGTGCCAGTGACGGTTTCGATCGTGCATGCCCGCGGACAACGGTTCAACGTTCAACGTTCAACACTCAACGTTATGCAAGTTCTTGCAAGCTGCGTAAAGGTGTGTCCTATGGATGCAATTGTTTGTTCTCATCCCAAGTTTTGATAGCAGCTATACGACGGTAGGTATGACGTTGTCGTCCAGTGGTTATTACTGTATGTACATTGAACGTATGTTCAATATTCAGGAACAGTCAGACGTGCGGACCCTCGGATTTGCAACCGGGGAAAACGATCCTCACGAACACATGCGAGATGAGATGCGAAAAACAGCAAAAAAAAACAATGAATATGAGCAAGCTGAGTTACCTAGGACTGAAATGGTAACCGATGACTGGTGCAAAACTCTCTTTGAATTAGCGCTTTGGGGGGATCACGATGCCAAGAACAAAACTGCTCATCGGATTTGCCACTCACCTCCCTCCCATGTCTTGCATTCTCTCAGTCCAGCCTGTATGCGACACGTTCACGAAAACGTGAGTCATATTATACATACGACTGTTGTTTTTATCATGTTCTGATTTAGTCTCTTCGGGGACAGGTGGAATGAGAACTAAATGGATGGCGCTCTGGAATCAATGCATTTTCGATGACGCTTTCCAGTCTGTTTGCCACTGCTATTCTGCAAAAGATCCCAACACGCGCAGATTCCAGAAGTTTGAAATTCATCCGCGAGACCGGCCAATGCACGGACTGGAGACAAACACGAGGTGCCTTTCCGCTAGGCAGTCTTAGCCAGTACGCCATACAGACTTTCAAAAGTTGAAGATATCACTACAAGGGCGCCTTACCTACCATGGCCTGATTCACTTGGTGAAGAGTGGTGAAGAGTCACCTAAAACAACTGCACAGAAGGTCCAAAGGATTTCGATCTGAGACACATATCCAACACAGCACGCTGCGATTATTTGCAAAATTTCGGATTTGCGCATATCCTGACATGTCCCCCACTTTCTGCAATTCAAATCACATCAGAGTCATTATCCAGGTATTCACCGTAAGTAGTCTGGCCTCCACCGCCGTGGTTCCATGGATGAATCTTTTCTACACTAGTGTGGACGACAGTCATTTTTTTCAGGCTCAAACGGTGACATGGCTTTATGTTTTGCACTTCATACAGTCCATACTTTGTTTTGCTAGTCACGCCTGACCGAATTCACCGGCCGGAATCTGGGGTACGGGGATCCGGACGGCTGACTCAAATCCACGTCGTAACGAGGACGATCCAAGGGCGATCAGCAACTCAATTCACGCAGGTGCGGCTGTATTCATCCGCCATATGCTCGCCATATACTCACATTTTCAAAAATATAGAAGCGTGCCTCGGTTGCTGTGCCTTCAATGGATCCACTGGTTCGTCCTGGCCAATCGCAACAGGTCGTTCATCTCACCAATGACCCATCAGAAACATTGGTGGCTCTTCTTGGTGATATCAATCCCGACAGCCGCTCCTTGTATACCTGGACACAGTGGCCAGACCGTTTGTGGAAACGACCTTACCTTACACCCAAATCTGAGTCTCTTCTCTACGACGGGTTCAGTCGTACTCACCACATTTGCTTCCGTCCGCTATACCTTCCCCAACACTGGTTAACTACCTCCTGCAGCCATGGTGCGTAGCGACATACTAAGACTGAATATTTGACGAATCTTACACAAACTTCTTTGGTTCAGTCTCAAGGTGCTTCTTCACCGTCACTCTCAGAGCGCAGTCTCGACCAGTCACTACTCTCCATTCATTTTGTCGTCGTTGGTGGCGGTATATCGGGTCTCTGCTCAGCTATCACCTTAAGCAGAGTCGGTCACGAAGTAACTCTTATTGAAGCCGATGAGAACATGGACGAAGTGAGTGATTCCATTGTTCTACGCACCAATTAATGTCGTTCTGATTTATGTCGCTGAAGACACCACTGTCAGCGGGGGCAATATTACCCCCAAACATGGTGAAACTTCTGAAACGGTGGGATCTCGCAGAGCAACTACAAGAAATGACGGCAGTCATGCCTGGCTTTGAGATCAACCGATGTAAGTGAGGCCACCTGCATGTTTGCCGCATCAACTCGTATGATGTGCTGATCCTGTTTTAAGTCGACACTGGCGAGTACCTAGGAACTCACGCATGGAGCGAGGAATTATTCCGTGAGGCCGGGGGAGAGCTTCGTACTTCCAACGTAAAGATCTCGTGTACATGACTCTTGTAGGGATTGTTCTTGCTAACATTTGCTCATTGACTACTAGTACAGTGCCTTCCGCAAGATGCTCAAAGACACTGCTCTCAAGAATGGGGTCACCATTCGCATGGGAACTCGCGTCACCTCGGTCTCATCGAAACGGCATACACAGCCTATAGTGACGTTGGATAACGGCGAAGTTTTGAGGCCCGATGTGGTCATTGGCGCGGATGGCTTAAAGAGTGTCGTGAGGCAGTACGTCCGAAACGACGAAGAGCCAGAAGAAAAAACGTACCTAGGGATGGATGTCTACTTGATGCACATCCCGGGCGACAGACTCGCTGAGGATCCAGAACTCAAGC